GGAGGAGGAGGGGATGTCCTGGATGCGTGGTTCGTGGACGATAAGCGAGGGGACCATGCCAGAGCCGTACATGCGGGGGGGGTGCTCTGAGACGGACGGCGGCCGAGGAAGGGAAGAGAGTGGGTAGAAGGGGGGAGGGGACTGTATGAAAGGAATGGAGGCGGGGAGGAGAGGCCGGTCAGCGAGAGTGAAAAAATAGAGAAATTCGCTTCACTTCAGCGAGAGTGAAAAAAAAGAGAAATTCGCTAATTCAAACAAAGCCCTGAGTGCCCGCTCACGCTTCTTGTTCCTTGCCCGATTCTCGGGACTCCGCCTTCTCCCAGGGCCGAGTTCCCCCCCCCCCAAACATCTCTCATCCCAATATCGCGAGAGCCTCCGGCGTGGCGAGGCTGGGACCGGGAGCAGTCGCCGAGAAGGGAGGGGAGGAAGAGCCCTCACAGGCTGAGGGCGAAGTCCGCAAAGTCTCGCAGCGACCGGAGCGTCTCCTCCTTGCCCTTGTCGTCGTAGATGGTGTGCTCGTAGAAGCCCCTCCTCCCCGCCTCCCCCATGAGGGCGTGCTCTATGGCCACAGTCGCCCTCGACACCGCCGCCTCCACCTCCTCCTCCTTCCCTCCCTCCTCCCCTCCATACCGCTCCCGCAGCTGGTCCACGGTGTTGAGAGTCACCCAGACGCCGATCAGGCGGGCCTCCCCCAAGGCCAGCAGCTTGTCTGCAGCGAAGGCGTCCAGCGCCAGCACCGACACCTTCCCTTCCTTTCTCATCACGTCCACCACGTCGCTCGGCCGAAGTCCGAACCAGGCCCTGCCCTCCCCCGCTTCCTCCTGATAGGCCGTCAAGAAGCGCCCTTGCTCCCGCATGACTTGGAAGGCGAAGTCCTCCACGAAATGGTAGTCCCGCCCGTCCACCTCCCCCTCCTTCGGTGCCCGCGTGGTCACCCACACGGGCTCGGCGTATCTTTGTAACGGATCGCTTTCAACCAGTCTGCGCGCCAGACCGCGCTTTCCCATCCCGTCCGGCCCACTCACCACCAGCACCGTCACCTCCTTTCTGTAAGCGCCCCCCCCGGCCTCCGCGGCCGCCGTCTCTCCCTCCC